TTTCTGAAGGATCTTGTGACACTGAAAACTCGAGTAATGGCTGCTGAAAATCCAGCTTTGCATTCAATGGAATAAATTACATTTTAAACTGTAGAAAACAGTTAATTTAAATTGTAATATTATTTAAAAAATATTATGGTTTTATTGTATTTTTGATCAAATAAATGCAGCCTTGGTGAGTATAAGATTTCCAAATAAAAATTCAAAAATATTTAAAAAAAAGTTACAGACCCCAAACATTTGAACAGTAGTATATTATTAAACAGAGTGGTGTAGGAGTGTTTTTTGTATGTTAATGAAGGTATTCAATAAATTTTAGATGTCTTGAATTGTTTAAGTCTTAACCTGCTGTGAAATGTTGACGTAGTCTAATTAAATTTGTTATTTGAGAAGGGCAGTTTCTGACATTTGTGTGTGTGTGTGTGTGTGTGCACTTCTTAACGTTGTGTATTTTCAGTGCCTAGGGAAGACACCATGAGATCTTCCTGTTGATGTTTAACTCTGTGAACGGTCTCCCCTGCTGCTCTCTGCACCAGCCAGTAATCAATTAGTTCCACCACACAACTGCTGACAGAATCAGCCCGAAGCCTCCAAAAGATCAACCTGATACTGAAATCACACACACACAGATGCATGATAAAGTTCATGCAAGTTATATATTAATATATCTGTCTACACCAGAGCGGAGAACATGATCAACTTCCTATGTGGACATGTTTCCTCCTGAGGGTTATGTATTCATATATTACATATTCATACTTCCTTTCTCACTTTCTTTCTTTTTATCTCTCTCTTTCTCTGTCTCTTAATCGCATACAGACACACAACCCTTTAGACAAAAAATGGGAATAAATGCAATCCTTAAGGCAAACAGCCCAGTCGGCTCAAACGCAAGACCTCTCCCTTCTTCCATTTATAATCACTTCATTACCAGTAAGTGAAAATCTAAAAGGTAGGCCAGATGCCAACAAGCATGTGTGTGTTATTAACGGTTGTTTAGAAAGTTGGTGGGTTGCCACTGTGTAGAAAGCCTTAAGTTCTGATGTAAGAAAACGAGTTTAGGAGAAAGAGAGGAAGGGTATACATTTTCTGTGCTGTATCTACAGCATAACGCCACTGCAATTCCGCCTCGCTCTGTAAATAATGGTTTTCATTTATTTAGTCTTTCTCATCTCTTCATTGTCCTCTTTTTCTCATTGATCTCACACATGACAGATGTGATTAGAAGCTAATTGATTTAAAGATCATAGGGTTTGCAGGAAACATGCATCAGATGAGCAGACCTGTATTTTTTTTATCAGGAGTGTCTCTTGTGTTGTATAACCAAGGAAGCCTATAATACCTGGAGAAGACATCTATTAGGATTCCCATTCATCTTACTGAGAGATGAAGTTACACCTTATAACTGCCTGTGCGAACCAGGCAAACCCTAAGCACTTGTTTGTAACTAGGTAATTTATTCTGACACTACATTTTTAATTATTTTCCATTTAATTCTTTTCCAAAGTGTTACACATCTACTGGCACACATACAGCCTCTTACTGTCGCACTGGAGGTGTGTGTTTGTGTTTGTGTTATAGAGAGAGTGCTTGCCAACTCAGACCTCTGTGTAGTCTCAGGTTGTCATTTTATTACGTTTAATATCATTAAACTGGTGATTGTGAACTGTTATTTTAAGTGAGCAGATTATTTACATAGTGTGATGAAGCGAGCGCCACTGATCACTTTGGGGGAGGGAAAAAGTAACGTGAGTCCGTGAGGATATAAGAAAAAAATGATGGCTTACTCGCACAGCACTCTCGTGCAGGGTGTAATTTATTTACAGTGCCAATGAATAAGACAGTCCACAGTAAAGTATATATACAGGCAGAGTCATAATCACCATAGACATTGAGGGGGACAAGTCCCCCCCAATAATTAGAAATGGCCAAACTGTCCCCCCCCACAATATTTGAAAAATACTCTGATAGCATTTCTATTGCTACTGTCAAACTGTGACCAAACAAATACAGAGCAAATGACTTGATGAGTCATTTCTTATTAATGAATCAAAACATACAGTGCAAACAGGAACAGTTTCTCTAACGAAAGACTTTGTAAATGAAAACCATACAGCATAGTCCAAACAAGTCCTGAACAAATGACTCTTATGAGCTGGCTTAGTGAATCAGTATAGTTACAGACTGAGTGATTGTTCACATGACAACATGTAATTAAAGATTCACATTATGAGTTTGGCAGTAATATTGTTTTCAGTTTTTGATTTTTTCAAAATCAAAATAATCTTATTTGACAATGAAACTGCATTTACTTTTTCTGAAAATTTATTTCCCAGTTGTAGGCCTACCAAAAAAAATGTGTATGATAATTTTAATAAACCATGAAGGAACTAGAATGATTAGTGGGAATCAAAACTGTAATTATTCTTTATGATTCCCATCTCTTCTAAGACATATTATAAGAGAAAAAGGGAAAAGAATGTGAAGTTAAATTTCTTCAAATGTATATGTCTCTGTTTAATTGCCTTCATATGCGTGTGTTTATGGGGGACTCAGGGTTGATTCATGACTTATTGAGATCATCTGCCACCATTGTGCTCTTGAGTAGAGCACTAAACCACAGGTTACCTCAGGGGTTCATTGCAATTATTGTTGCTATATGTACCCGCTGGATGAAACGCATCCGATAAATGACAAATAGCAGGGATCTGTGACTGTATATGTATGCTTTTTATGTATGTAAGAAAGAGAGTGTGGAGTCTGTGTTCTGGAAAGAAAACCCTTTAAAGTTTTTTTATATCATTGTGGAACTTGCATGCAAGATCACTCTAATAAAGAAAGAACAAAACTCTTTCTCTTTTGTTCAGCTTGTGTTTGAGTTTATTTGAGGTTTATATAAAAAAAACTCACACAATGTGAAACCCCAGAACTGTGTTTGAATATATTTTGACCTCTTTGCCAATGATTGTTAAAATTCAAGTCTTTTGTTAAACTCCTTAAATGGTTGAGAAAGAGTTTTAATTGATTTATTTAGAGGAGTGGATTGTGAATGTTGCTGTTGCATGTGTGTGTGTTTTTATAATTATGGTTTAACTTTTGGCTTCGTTGTTTGGCTTCTGTTGGTGCTCTTTTCATCGGCGCCCTATTAGCGGCTTTAGACACGTGCCACCCTCTCAACGAGGCCTCATTTCTCCTTCAGCTGCTCTTTCTCCACTCCTCTTTTCTCTCCAACTGCACATTATTATATGAGGGGAATGTGGAGGGAGTGTGTAGCTGTACTTCAGGATACTAGAGAAAGATAACAAGAGAATGTTTTTGGGTGTGTGTTCAGTACTTATCTAGTTTAAAGTGGGCAAAATATGATAAAAACTTGGGGGGCATTCTCATCTGGAAAACTGATTAAAAAAAAAAAAGTAATAAATAATTAATTTAAAAAAATCAATTATTTTATTGAATTCTAAAAGTTTTCTTTCAGGGTTTCGGTTAACCTGTAGTAATTATAATTAGCTTTTTATAAAAACTGTAGAAGGCTATGGTATGTCTTCATTTAGATTTAGTTTATAGTTCTTTAATTTCTTTTTAAAAATGTGATTCTAAGAGGGTTCTGTACTCCTCTCTCTCTCTCTCACACACACACACACACACACACACATATAATCACTGTACACTCTTAAAAATAAAGGTGCTTCAAAAGGTTCTTCAAGCGACGCCATAGAAGAACCATTTTTGGTTCCACAAAGAACCATTCAGTCAAAGGTTCTTTAAAGAACCATCTCCTTCTTGCGTTTTTGTAATCTGAAGAACCTTATTTCGCCACAAAGAACCTTTTGGGAAACAGAAAGGTTCTTCAGATGTTAAAGGTTCTTTATGGAACCATTTAGACAAAAAGGTTCTTCTATGGCATCGTGAAGCACCTTTATTTTTAAGAGTGTACCTTGAGCTCACTTTAGGGTCAAAGATCAAAGTCTAATTTCCACTCTTGTTTTTTTTTGTTTTTTTTCTTGTTTGTGTGTTATATGCCGTCATACCCTTAAGATGCGGTCATATTAGCAAAATGGCACAGGCAAAATAGGTTAATTTTCATTAACTGTCAGTAATAAAGCTCGGCTCACACAGAAGTCATTTTCATCTGGCGATTTCATGTGACCAACTTAAACTCAATGCAAAATCTGCATGGGGAAACCTTTCACCCTTGCGCAAAATTTTCAGTTTGTGAGAATTCCTATTGAAATGGATTTTGGCCACAAAACTTTGCAGAACAATTGCAAATGTGACCGCACATTTGCAAGGGGAATACACTACCATAACAGTGTGTACCCTAACCAGGTACAATATAAACTACAGTTTCTCTTCAATGTAAATCTGCACAGAATAGCCCCGACAAATGACTGAAGCCTCATTGGTTCAAAATCCTACTCCGCATTATGTATAGTAAACATCAGATTTATTAGATTTATTATTATTATTTTCAGACTGCCTTGTTTGGTGATACAACATTGTTGCTTTCATGCGATGCAACATTCTCGCTTTCACTGTGGACAAATTACTTTGTAGAAATGTATCAGCTAGTTATTACTCAGTGTTTAAAATTTTGAGATGTTAACAGGTTGAACAGAAAGCAAAATATTGCCAAGTTTGGTTAAAATGCCTCTGTTGGAAAAAGAACTGACGTAAACTTACAATCCGTAATATTTTGACTTGCAGCAGTGAACAAATAGTCATGCCAATAAAGCACAATTAAATTGAATTGACAACAAGAGAAACAGATAAAGAGTGGTTTAAGTTCTCAGAGAACTCCCATCAGTCACATTCCACAAACTTCTCCTGCTGTTCTGGATTTAAGATGAGCGTCCTCTTTCAGCACTTCATCACCATTTTCTCCTCATAAATCTGCTTTGACTATTAGAGACAGATTTATTGTCATTTTTCAGTTAAAATGTGGTGTTCATTGTCGTGTCATTCATATTTCATGCCTCTTTCTCTCTCTCCCTTTCCCGCAGATCTGTTGGCCACAAACCGCACCTCCATTTTCAGTGGTTTTCATGGAGATCTGCACTTGTCAGCTGTGTTTTTGGATGAATATCATGACAGGCTTTTCCTGGGAGGGAAGGATGTTCTCTACTCGTTGAGACTGGATCACAAACGTGATGCTAAAGAGGTAAGACATACTATCACTGCGATATGGTTAAGATAATAAGCTACCCACGGAGAACACAGGTGTGAGAGCCCAGAAAAAGGGGCGTGTAAAGGCCGGTTCACATACATTCTTGTGTTTAAAAAAAAAAAACACGAAGCACAACAGAATGGAAAAAGTCTTGCGATTTTTAAAAGCTGAATTGTTTTAATTTGACAAGGTGTTTTTGAAAGGGACATCGGATACAAAATTCACATGGTGTTTGTTTGCATATAAATGTGTCTTAGCAGTGTGTGGACACAACCACCCTACAATGATAAAAATACATTCACTCCTTTTTTTTTAATCCCCAAAAATAAAAAGTAAAGCCGTTTTGACCTGAAACGGGTCGCTGTGAACAGAGCTGTTTTTGACAAGGTAAAAAGGGTGTTGTTTTACGCGACCATTGAGAAATTTTAACCAAAGTATTTTGCAGACATTTCATGAAGACTCTAAAGAATAATACCAACTTGTGGAAAATGGGCATCCAATGTCCCCTTTAAAACAGCAAGCTGCATCCCACTAGTCAAATACATCCATCTAGCATTGGTTTACATAAACAAATATTTGAAAACAGCGTAGACAGACTCAAGACACTCATTTATTTATTTCTATTATTTATAAAATATTATAAAACTTGTAAAAATGTCATAATATTAATAAAATATTTGTAGTATTTTATTATAAATATTGTAAAATCATAACTATTTAAAATAATATTTATAATTGTATAATATTACAACTATTATAAAACCATCATTGTGAAACCGTCTTTATACTAACATAATATTTAGAGTATTATACATAAAAAAGTTTATTAAAAACTCCAAAGGAAATTTTAGAGCTCAGGTTTTCTGTCATAGGCAGTAGGCCAAATATGTTATTAAAAATGTTTACTAAAAATCACACAAAAACAGCTGTTCACAAACACACATTAAAGTCATGTAAATTGACCGCCTTTGTGACAAAGACTTGTTTAGACCTCACTTAAGACATATAAACACATAAATGGTCTTGCTTGATTTTACGAGTTCAATGTTTGCTGCCCTTTTTCCTGTTATTGTCTCAGTTTTGTGGTGTAGTTTATAAAATAAAGTTGTGAGTTATGAGAAGAGCCACAGTGTATAAATAGGCACTGGACTAAATGGACTGTAAAAGCAGAAGTGCTTTGGTACTACTTGTCTAGAGGGTTTGGCATTTTGTTCCCTGTGCAGTTAACTTTCTATATGTGTGTGGCTGAGCTTAATTAAAGCCTCAGTTCATGTGAATATGTTTTGACTCAAGTCACTGGAGCCTCTACCAGTGTGGTTGTTTTGATATGCAGTCTCCAAAGTATTTATCATTGTGTGTGGCCTTGTTAAAGGATATGAACAGGAAGAGGAGGTGCATTGCCATAGTGACAAGACACGTGGGAGTGGCTGCAACATCTGAGGTTATGACCCCGTGACCTTTGGCTCAAGGACAGACGTTTTCTGCCTTGTTAGACACTTGTGCATTCTGTAAGGCCACCGTACTACCACTGGCCACAGTTTTCAAATATACTACCTTCTGTACTGAGAATTTCATGACAAAAATTAAGCTACAACTGAAATGTTCTTTTCAGTAACAATGTGCAGGAAAAGTTTTTCACCTTTTTTTAGCCAGAAAACAAAATGAGGATGTTTGGATGTGTGAATTTACGTGTGCAAGATTGTTTTGTAGATGCTACCAGTAAAGCTTCCCAGCCGAAGGGGAGGGTGCCACAGAAATCAAGCAGTGATTCATGATGTTGTTCTTTAAGCGGAAAAATTACTCAACCCTGATCAGACTTCCTTTTCCCTCTTGGGCATGTATTTACTGCAAATCTCCCATCACCTGTTGCCTTCATCTCAGCTGATCTCAGTTCAGTGAGAGGAATCATTCACTCATTCTTTGCAGAGGACTGTCAGGTCCAGGATTCACCATGCAGTGTTTCTCCCATGGTTAATAGAGGTTGGTTAATCTTAAACCTGGTGCATCTGGAGCAAATTAAAAAGCTGAATGAGTGAGCCAGGGCCCTTTCTTTCACACCATGGATTTATAGTATACTGTAGTGTTTTTCATTAATAATGACCTTTTAGGTCAATACAACCCAACGACAGCCACATTTGGACTATTTTTAGTCCAAGTGTCCTGAAGAATAAAGGTGATCGCTAATTAAGGAAAGAAGAAATGCTTTCATGCACAGGAAGGATGCTGGGTAACAGTTGATTACAGGTTCCGGATTTAGACAATGTCAAAATGTGTAAGAGCTTGAAAGGGTAAATAAAAGCTAATGACTCACTAATTATTTAATCATATGAAGGCTGGAACTGATTGAAACTAACAGTTTTTTTGAATGATATCTGACATTTTACAAGCAGTAGAAGGATTTGTAAATGTCATGTGATGTAAAGAGGTTGATTAGTCAACAAGTGAAAATCATTTCCCTGGGAACTGAACCTGTGACCTTGGCTTTGATCCAGGTTTGAGCTATAGGAACACTATTTAACTTTAGACTATTTTATTTAAATATATTTTTGTTGGAAATATAATCTTAATGGGTGGCTGATAGGCCTATATCTAATCACACAAATTAAAAATTATAATTGTGTTATATTCTGTGCGCTTTTGCTAAAGAGGACTATATAACTTATGAAATTAAGCTTGCATATGTTTGCAGATCTGTATAAACAAACCTAAAAGTCTCTGTGAGGTCTGAACGTGACAGCGGTTTTGTTCCAGACTGTTCTGTGACACGTGAGAAATTAATGCGTCAGGATGTGCAATCACTGTATATATATTTGGATAGAGGACCTAGCAGATGAGATTGTATATTTCTCAATCGTTCATAACATCAGGATAGGTTTTTGTGACTTTCACACTCTCAGAGTTGTTTTCATAAATCTATCTTTATTGTTGACATTCGTGGGGGAAAAAACCCACAAAGCATTTTTGTTGCATACCCACCCTCAGAGACACTGTCTGATTTTGTTATGTTTGGATCTTGGCAGAGTAATTAGTCTTAACAAGTAAATGAGTCTGGGTGCGAGTTGGACAGAGCTGTGCTTAATATGTGTTTAATTTATGAGATGATAAATTTCATCTGCTTTTCCTTTTTTATCTCCAGATCCATTGGCCTTCGTTGCCTGGGAACCGTGAGGACTGTATTCTCAAAGGGAAGGATCCCGAGGTGAGTGAAAAACTGGCTCTGGTTCTGAATTCACTAAAAACATCAACAAACTCGAAAGTTGGGTCAGTGTATTTTTGTTTTTTGTTTTGGTGGGGGTGGGGGACGCTGGGGATGTCAGGTTCTTTCATGATATCCCAGATCCAGCCAATGACAGAAATCATCAAATGTAGTTTGTTTTGGAATGTTTGGTTAGTGTGATTCTCTACATTATTTCGTTTGGTTCAATCTGGAGTTTCAAACAAAAACATCTGTCCATCTTCAGCTATAATCTGAGTGAGCTGCAGTTGGCGTGATGACTGGAGAGAAGAAGCCAAACGCCCATAAATGAGATTTGATCCACTGACTTATTGTCTTGCGATTTCAGTTTTTCCTTTCTCTTTGGAGTGTTAAAAGCTCTTGGTGCATAAAGAAGATCTGTAAAGTTGCAAAGACTAAAGTCTCAAATCCAAAGAGATATTCTTTATAAAAGTTCAGAGTCAGCCACACCTACCTAAAACGACTCGTTCTAACACGCCCCCACATATCTACATCACTATGTGGGAAGATTTGCATAACGCTGCCCAAATGTTCACGCAAAGAAAGAAGGCGTAACTTTTATTCTGGCTGTAGTATTGTTGCTGCCGCCATGTTGTGAATGCGCTGTGTGCTTCGTTGTGAAAGCGAAACTACTTTGTTTGGCCTTCCAAAAGAGGACAATATCTTCTTCG